AGAAGAAGAAGATAGCAGGAGGGGAAGAATGAAGGGGAGTAAGTCGGGGGGGAGACGAACCATTAGAGACAATGGACTCTGAAAAACAAACTGAGGGTTCTAGAGGGGAGGGGGGTGGGGGGATGGGTTAGCCTGGTGATGGGTATTAAAGAGGGCACGTTCTGCGTGGAGCACTGGGTGTTATGCACAAACAATGAATCATGGAACACTACATCAAAAACTAATGATGTAATGTATGGTGATTAACATAACAATAAAAAATTATTAAAAAATAAAATAAAATAAAAAAACAAAAACAGAACTAATGATGTACTGTATGGTGACTAACATAATAAAATAAAATTAAAAAGGAAAAGAATAAAAAAAAAAAAAGGAGACCCAGGGACTGGATCATATAGAGTCCCACAGGCCATGGTAAGGAATACAGATTGTATTCTATACATGATAGGAAGCTCTTATAGGGTTTTCAGTATGCCCAGTGACATAATCTAATCTATGTTTTTAAAAGTTAACTTTGGCTACTATGTGGAAAAGAGATCGTAGGCAGCACTGAGTGGCAGCAGGGAGACTAGTGAGGGAGTTATGGTAGTCCAGATGACAGATGATGGGGGCTTAGATTGGGGGGGGAGGCAGCAAAGGTGATGAGAAATAGATCCGGGATATGTTTTTGAAGGCAGAGACAACAGACTCACTGATAGGATTTATGAAAGACCATGGTAAGCCAGAGCAGAGCCTTTTACCAAGTTGGGGAAGATGTGGAGAGGAGTAGGAACAGGTCTAACTGGGGTTAGGGAACATGGCTCAAATGTTCTGCTCAGACATGTTAAGTTTGAAGGTTATTGCGATGCCCAATTGAAGTAAACAAGTCTGAAGGTTGGGGGAAAGGTCAACAAATTTGGGGGGCATCAGCGTATGGACAGTTTTCAAAGCTATGGGACTCAATGAAAGCACAAGGGTAATGAGAATATTCAGAAACATCCGATCACTAAAGCAGACCAAAATGACAATAAAAAGCTATAGAAGATTAGGAAGGAGTAAAACGAGGAGAACTATCAATCCTTTGCACTCAGACTCTTACACACCAACTCTGATATCATTTTGGCTTTAAGAAATTCAAAAGTGGTTGAAGAATTTTAAACAAATGTAATTTCCACAGATTTTCTAATACAAAATTGCCCAAAATTATAAGAGAAATACCCATAAATAATGATATAATTAGTTTATAAACAGCCATAAACTAAAATTAATAGGATTTAACTGGGGGACAAGTTAAAAAATCCTGGCAATGGGAAACACAAATTTATTACTCCATCTGGTGGTCTGATGAAGTAACTTTCTGAAACAGTGGACATAAGCAAGTCCTATCTATGTCAATGAATGTCAATCTCCCATTTCCCAGGTGATGTTATCTCTGCAACCAGAGAGGAAATACTTCTTAAACTGATAACACAGATATGGAAATATACTGAGATAAATATAAAGTTCAGAGGATAAGTTCTAAAAAGTAATTTACAAATAAGACACTAACCGGGCTTGAGAGCCATTCATATGAAAAAAGGGAGGGTTTGGTTGAACAAAGAAGAATGGGAGCTATTGGTGTGAGGTATTTGCTAGAAACATTTGCAGAACAGTATTTAATCAAATCAAGAGGTATTTTAGTATCAACTAGTAAAACTACTTGTGGAGTACTATGTTCAAATATGACCACAGTATTTGAAGCTGGATCATTTCTTCAAATCTGGGCCATCTGAAGAAGTCATAAAAATCTATAGTGGATTCAGAGCACAGTATTTGGGATGATGCGTCTAGAAACTACATCATGTGAGGAGTAAGAAATTGAAACTGGTTAAACTAAAGAAGTAAAGGCATGAGAACATGATAGATGGCTTCCAATATTAAATAGCTACTGGGATGAAAAGAAAACAGACTAATTCTTTGTTGCTCCAAAAGTCAGACTCCATGCATCTAAGAAAGAGAGGGGAGGCTGGAGTTTGACTTAGCATGAAGCACTACCCAATGATCAATGAGCAGCCTCCCTGATCTTTCTGCTTCTGAAACACCATGCTTAAAAGTTTAGGAACTACATAAAACAAAATTCCTGTACCAGCTAAAGGTGTAAAGACACCTTTAAGTGACCTTCCTATTTCAAAGTCAATTAGTCTATATTTTAAGAAATATTTTTTACTTGTTTTGCTTTGGAAATGTCACATATTTTGACTATAAGGAGCCCCAGAGAGCCCCTGGTCTAGGACCTGACTATGTCACTGAAGTAGAGCACTGAACCATAAATTATTCTATTCCTTTAAATCCTTTCCTAGCATGGAATCAAGTAATTCATGTTCTTGGTCCCAAAAAGAAGTAACAAAAAACAGGTCCCTGATAATTCTATTTACTCATTACAGCTGAGGTATATAATAAGAAGGCAATCGTGAGGCAAAATTAGTTCATTTTATTTTCATTTTTTATCTCACCTCCCTCTTGAAAACCCATTAAAATAACAATAAAGATGTACAAAATAGAATACATGATTTTACATTTCTGTTTTCTGGATCCAATGTCTTATTTTTTCAAGGCTTAGTTCCTCTTAGTGGTAAAGCACATCCTGGAATACAGTGATCTTCGAAACTGTGGTAACATGTACCCCCAGATGTACAGAAAAGCCTTCCAGGAGCGTACGGCATAGCTAGCTTGAAGGCGATCCATTTGGTGATCGCAACTCCCATATATCCTTTCTCCTAAAACTGATCTTCTTAAGATGATGATTTTAGAGAGGTTCACCTTTCCTAATCACCCTTCTCCCATCTGATGACAGAAAGGCCTAGTACACTGTTGTCAAATATTTCTATATCAATAAATTTAAAATTCTATACTAGACTGCATCATTCTCTAATTATTTTATATGTATTACAGTCTCATGCATTAAACTACATTCCTTATGGTTTTATAATAGACAACATAGGAACAAAACAAAGACAAAACAATGTTAACAGATTTTATTTTCAACTTTGCTTATTTGCTTCTAGGCTCGCTTAAAAGTCTTTGTTCGCAAAGTATTAAATATTCTAAGAATGTAAGTTAAGAACAATGCCATAAAAATGCAAGTTTAAGAGTCAGTATACATGGAATGTTATCAACAAAAAAGGTTATCAGAATGAGTTCTTCAGTAAATTTGAGAAAAATTAGTTCTTAATAAAAATATTTCTCTTAAGGAGTAGTGCATTTTTTTTTTTTGTAAGGGGCCAAGAGAATAAATATTTTAGGCTTTGTGTGCCATATAGTCTTTGTTGTAACTACCCAACTGCTGTGGCACAAAAGCAAGCCATTAGATGTATTATACAGACAAAATGGAAACCACGGCGTAGCTGTGTCTCGCTAATACTTTATTTATAAAAACAGGTGTGGGCCAGATCGGTCCCATGAACCACAGTTTGCCAGCTCCTGTTTAAAAGAATTAAAAAAAAAACGTTTACCAGATTTCCTTTGTCGCCGGCCCAATAAGTCTGTAACTGCTTTTCGGAATTTTTTTGCTTCTTCTTCATTGGCAAAATTAAGAGCAACTTGACAAGTCTGAAATATTTTTATCAAAAAAGGTAAACAACAAAAAACATGAGCCTAGCTTTATTTAATAAAAAAGTTGATAACAAAGTACATTTCTAAAGAAGGAAAGCTGAGTTTACTAGCAGACAAGAGCTTAGTTTAGCTTAGTTTTAATTTTATCTGAATAACTTAAGAATACTGAAAGCACGGAGAAGGCAAAGTAAAAGACTACTATTAGAAAAGTTGCCTCTCATAGTAGACATTCAAATATTATTAAATGGAATACTCCATCTTCAACAACAAAAACAGCAAATTGAATTCGATCTTTCAATAGAACTCTACAAAATAATTTGGATTTTATTAAAGGCAAACACTGGAAAAGTTGGTCAAATGCAGGTCAGCTCTATCTTCACTAGGTTGTTTTTATTTTACAGCCTAACTGTATGTATTAAATTATAACCTTAATTCAGATAAATTATTAAAAATGTGGAAACACACTGACATCGATTATGGCATTTTATGCACACTTTTATATATGTACATATATTTATATTTTATTAAGAAAAATGTGAAAAATAACAGCTAGAGAAAATACTTTTTGAAAAGATATATCCTCTAAACTTTTTTTCTCATTATACAAAATTTAGGAAATACAAATATGCAAGTAAAGAAAATTAAAATCACCTATAACCTAGTCAGACAATCCCTGTGAGCATATAGTATGGAAATGCTTCTAACATCTTCCTCAAGTTTATGCAATAAACTTTTTAAATTCTATTCTCCCCTTATACGCATCTATTGTATTTTTGCACTCTTCTAGGCCATGAACTATTCTTTCACAAAATAATTTGAATGGCAATATAACATTCAATATTTAAAAGATACCATGGATTAGTGGGCAATTAAGACTTCATTTTTATGCATAAGAAAACTAAATACCAGAAAGATTAAGCTATCTATCCAAAGACAAAGATGGCAAAAAACCAAATTTCTTTTCTACATAGGAAATTATATTTACAGTACTCTTTGGAATCTTTTTTTTTTTTTGGCCCTTTAAAATCTTAGACATTTCTGGGGCACCTGGGTGGCTCAGTCATTAAGCGTCTGCCTTCGGCTCAGGTCATGATCCCAGGGTACTGGGATCGAGCCCTGATCGATCTCCCTGCTCAGAAGGAAGCCTGCTTCTCTCTCTCCCACTCCCCCTGCTTGTGTTCCCTCTCCCACTGTGTCTCTCTCTGTCAAATAAATAAATAAATAAAATCTTTAAAAAAAAATAAAAATTAAAAAAAATAAAATCTGAGACATTTCTTCCTATTTAGCTACACTGTCTATGAAGAAGCTTTGTATAAAGTAAAAAGAATTATTTCTTTTAAATGTTTACACAGAAAGCTCATAAATGCTTTCCACAGACAAATATAAAAACAATTACATTAAACAGGGCAATAAAAAAAAATGACTTACATCTCCAGCAAAGGTATGAAAATATCCTCTAGGACTATTATATACAAAGTTATTGTATAGCTCTTGTTCCCACAATAGTTTCCCATCCTAGAAAAAAGTTAAAATAAGAGTTACCAAAAAGATAATCTCTAGGAATAAAACAAAATAGATGACTCATATTCAGGGAATTAGCTTTTACATGCACAGAAAACACACGTGTATAGAACATAAATAACATAATTTAATCAGTAATTTCTTAACAAAAGAATAAATTCTGGATGTTTCTTTCAAAAAACTACATAGCAAATGAGTTTTAATTCAGTATGCTAAGACACAATCTCATTAGCCTTGTATTCCCAAATATAGTTACTCAAATACAAAACTAGAACAATTACTAGATCATCAATGTCAGACAGCAGGACTAGAATACTGTTGTACATGCAATGATCATCAAAGCACAGTTCCATCAGCAATAGACTATGTGCTACCAAATATTACAGGAACAGTTCATGCTCTCTTCCTCAATTCTGTAGATGCTGGGAGGGTCAAATATACCTTCCCTGTACAAAACATTAACAAGTTTTGAATTCCTAACTTTTACACAGTGACCCTCTAATTAAATACTGGTAAAAGCAGTTAGTGTCGATCATGTGCAGAAAAACACTGATGATTACAGTGCACCGAGGTTAGAGTGTAGTTAAGAGAACCATGGATGACTGCATTGTCGTATCTATGGCTGCCACAGAAGAAATACAATTAACCTAACACCAAAGGTGGCTAACTGCAAGTATTCAGCATTGGTTATCTACAATTAGAAATAAGTGGTTAGAGAAATATAAGTATTGCCCTATTCCAAAAATCAAAGTTCTACCTAGACCATGATTTAAAGATATTCAGAAAACACTGTACACACATATAAAGCAATTCCTTTCCTCTCAGTGGAGTTATATACACACTTGATTTCTAAACAGTGCTTCTCACTGGTGATGAGAAACATGTCAAAAAAACTAAACAGTTTCTTTCGAAACGTGCATGTGTTCCCTATCCCCTAGAATCACTGCCATAGTGAGCCACCACTCCAGGAGTATGCCATGTCTCTCAGCTGTCCTGGGGGATGGAGAAGAAGCACAAAGTTACAAAGTACAGTAACTTAAATCTTATTCAATCTCAGGGAAACACTTTGCATTAGAACCAAATGGTTCTCCCATTTTACAAATAAATAAGCCAAGGCCCAGAGAAGTAAAACAGTTTGACTACAATCTATCTATCCTTAAGCATCATCCAGGAGAGTTCAAAGTCAGTTTATTTTTGGTAATTATTCCATTATACGTATTGCCATATCATATAAATATTACAAAAGCCTACCTATAGAAAAGGTTTTTTTTTTTTTTTTAATTTATTTGTTAGAGAGAGAAAGAGAGAGGCAGGCAGAGGGAGAAGCAGGCTCCCCGCTGAGCAGGGAGCCCAATGTGGGACTCGATCCCAGCACCCTGGGATCATGACCTGAGCCAAAGACGGACGCTTAACAGACTGAGCCACCTAGACATCCCCTATAGAAAAGGTTTTAAAAGATAAATGGAGACTTCATCTCTGCACAAAGGTAATTACTTCTACGGTAACTGTAAGAGGGTGAATACCTGAGAATGGGCATTGAATCTGGGACAATGTGGATTTGTGTTTGAATGTGAGAGGTACAAAGCTGTGAAAATCTGAACATATCTATGTTGAGACAACATAAGGAAAAATGGGTAGCAAACACATTATTATAGATATTGCATCATGCTTTAAACCTAAGCTGAAGTAACTAACAGTACATACTAAACTAAAATATACTTCTATAGTTCCCTGAAAGGACTATATATGCTACTCTGTAACGGACAAAATGGAATAAAAGAGTACCATTAGAAAAAGAGAAAATATAAGGAAAGCCCAAGATGTAAAGGTATTAAAAACAAAAACAAAAAAATCCTTTAATGTGTGGTGGCTGTGGAAAGATAAAATAGGGAACTATTCATGTTCTGGCTTATGACCTATTCCTGTTTGGTTGCAATGCCCATGCTTCATTATCTAAAACCAAGCTTCACTCCTCTAATATTAAGTATAATTTAACAATACATACAGGATGAACAAAAATTATATATATAACAATATATATAAATATATATAAAAATTATAACTGAGGTTAAAAAATCTATTCACCTACAGTTTAAAGTGGAAACAAAACAAAACTCACCTTAATATCAAATATTCTTAAAAAATAAGATCTCTGTGGATTGTCCTTAACAAGACAAGCGACACCGCTGCACTTCTTTGACCACATACAGTTACGATCTGCTGCATATAACTGTACCACTGCTGAAGACATAGTCTGGAAAATATAAAATTTATAGCCATTAGGTTCAAAATAACATTCAGATGACCACAGCCCCTGCTGACATCTTCACTGCAACCTCATGAGACACATCCAACAGGAACCACCCCGCTATGCTGGTCCTGATTTCCTGTCCCACAGAAACAAGGAGATAATATTAACATTTATTGTTACTTTAAGCCATTACTTTTTGAGGTAATTTCTTATGCAGTAGTAAATAACACAATATTTACACTAAAAATAACTATGGAAAGCAAACATTTACTGATGCTTAGAATGTGTCAAAAATTGTGTTAAGCACCTTTAAATACAACTCCATTTAAATTTATTACTATTATAATCTCATTTTATGCTTACAAACCCAAGGTTAAAGGGATAAATAATTTGCCTCAAATCACAAAGCAAAGTGGCAGAGTTCCAATGAAGGCAATTTGTGACTTCAGATCCTGTATTCTTACTCCCTGTAATATACAGTAGTCCTCCTTTATCCATGGGGCATACATTCCAAGACCCCCTGAGTGGATGCCTGAAACTGCAGATAGTACAAATCCCATATATACTATGTTTTTTCCTACATATCTATGATGAAGTTTAATTTATAAATTAGGCATAGTAAGAGATTAAAAAAATAATGAAAAGTAAAATAGAACTATTACAACTATTGTAATAAAAGCTATGTGAATGTGGGATCTCTCTCAAAATATCTTATTATACTATACTCATCCTTCTTCTCGTGATGATGTGAGATGATAAAATGCCTATGTGAGCAGATGAAGTGAGGTGAATGGCGTAGGCTACTACTGACCTCCTGACAATATGTCAGAAGGAAGATCATCTGCTTCCAAACTAGAGCTGACTGATCATGGGTAACTGAAATTGTAGAGAGCAAAACCGTGGAAAAGGGAGGACTACTATACCATTTCCAATACAGTGAACATTCAAGTAATGAAGTAGTAGTGTTAGTAAAGGCTGATGTCCATAGAGCAGTTAACTACTTTAGTACGGTACTAAATCAAACCTGAAAGCAAGATTTGAAGGTACAAATTACAGTGCTGGGCACTTTGAACATATCATCATCCTGGAAGATAGATTCTAATATCACCTTTTTTATTTATTTAATTTTTTTGAAGATTTTATTTATTTGACAGAGAGAGAGAAAGAGAGACAGAGAAAGAGCACAAGCAGGGGGAGCAGCAGGCAGAGGGAGAGGGAGAAGCAGGCTCCCCACTGAGCAGGGAGCACAATGCGGGCTTGATCCCAGGACCCCGGGATCATGACCTGAGCCAAAGGCAGACACTGAGCCACCCAGCGCCCCTCTAACATCACCTTTTTTAAGGATGGCAAAACTAAGGGAAAAAAGACATTAAGTGACTTGCACTTGGCCATGCTTGAGAGCTATATACATGAGAGCTATACTGAAGAGATGAAGAATTATTTGAGTTATTATTGTACTAATTTTCTCAAGGATATACCTAACTAGTACCCTTCTGGATGTGTAAGAGAAAAGCTAATTGTTACAAGCAAGGAACACAGCACATTAAGTTTTACCATGTTGCCACCTCCCTTGTGGCAGCATCATGAAATAATGGAAACTTTAGTTTAATTCTAAATTACAGTTTTTCTGTATTATAATCCCGGACGTAACTATTCGATTTTAGTTTCCATAAGAGTGATACACAGCACTTACAAATCCTCTGAAAATAATAATCATGTTTTCTGGTCTAAATCTAGTGATTTCACTCCAAAACTGGAAACCAAGGAAATAATTTAAAATACAACAAAAATTTATTATTTGTAATATAAATATGAAACAAAATATCTATAAAAATACGTTAGTTATGGTTTTTTAAATAAAAGGAATTTAAATAACCAGAAGTGACTAATGATTTAAGTAAGAACAGTACATAAAAAGAAAAGAAAAGAAAAAAGAACAGTACATCAGTTCAGTGAATACTGGGTATTGTTAAAGAAAACAGACTACATTAAGATTTAGAGATAAAGCTGTTTTGGGTTACTTAACCATGGCTGGGGAATGCCCTCCTTTGATAAGAGGATTCTATTTTTTTTTTTTAAGATTTTATTTATTTATTTGACAGAAAGAGCGAGACAGCACAAGCAGGAGGGGCAAGCAGAGAGAGAGGGAGAAGCAGGCTCCCCGCTGAGCAGGGAGCCAGATGCGGGGCTCGATTCCAGGACCCTGGGATGAAGGCAGACGCTTAACCGACTGAGTCACCCAGGCGCCCCTGATAAGAGGATTCTAAAGAGCTAACATATATATTATACACACACATACATATGCAGGTCTTTTATAGTAATAAAGTCAAAAATGTAAGATCAGTGTACTTTTGGGGGCCAAAAATATAAAGACTTTCCTAAGTAAAACTACTCCATGTTATGTTTTTAATTTTTGTAGACCAAACTCATCTTTGAATTTCAGAATCATGAATAGGACACAAAGCAGCAGGAAAATTTCCACAAGAGCCATTGAAAAAATTATGAAGACAGCTTAGAAACATAAAAAAAAATGTATATACTAAGATACTGGGCTTAAAAAAGGACACTGAAGAAAGTTGAGTATGCTTTTGGCCTGCTCAAAACATAACTTTGTTCTTCTGCAATTGTAATACATATCATCATCTACTTGGGCTCCCTGACCCCAAACTCCTAACACTAAAAACTTAAAAAAAAAAAAAAAAAAGGATTTTGCATATATTATCCAAAGGTATTAAAGACCAGGCTGAAGGATTCAAAATCAGATAAGTAAATTCATTCTAAGTCAAATTCATATAAATTAGAGAGCTCTTTTAGTATGATGCTGTCAAATGCATTCATTTCTAAAAAGAAAAACAACTAGGAAAATAGATACCAAGAAGAAAAACATCAAAAAATCCTTTTAGGGGCACCTGGGTGGCTCAGTCGGTTGAGCATCCAACTCTGGATTTCAGCTCAGGTCATGATCTCAGGGATCATCTGATAGAGCCCCGTGTCTGCTCCCTACTCTGCAGGGAGTCTGCTGGTCTCCCTCTCCCCCCTACCCCTCCCCTATCTCAAGCGAGCATGTGCGCACGCTCTCTCTCAAATAAATAAACCTTTAAAAAAAAAATCCTTTACTTTTTTTTTTTTTAACCAAAAAACAAGAAGTAACAGCTTGCAAAAGAAACAACGTATTATCAAATAGAGTCTGAAATTCCATTATGGAAATTCCCTTGCCAAATAACCAAATATTAACATGTACAACACTGAATGCATATGTGAACTTAAAAAAAAGTAACAAAAAAACTAAAAATCCACATTTAAACATTTATATGAAATTCTTAAAACATCTGCTTAAGAAATAAAGACTTGTGAAACAGTTCAGTAACATTCCACATAAACGTGGTTGGTACTATAAACCTCATTCTAAAACAATTTATAAAATTTTAATACTGAAGAAACCACCTAATCATAAGCTTTTTGCAGTAACTGGATTTTCAAAATTTTGCTGCAATCGTATTATCAGTCTAAGTATGCCCCTTTCACTCCCTTTTATCTTAAACTAGCAAAGTCTGAAAATTATATAAAGCCCTTTCTGATTAATTCCGGAAGATTATAGTGAATGCAAGGATAGCTTACACGCATAAAATTTAATATATAAATGCTAGAAATATGAAAACAGTGACTATCCCTTAAGCTCTAGACTGACAGTGGCTTAATTTTTTAAAAACATTCCTTCCATTCCTTTAAAGTAATTACAGCTAATCAACTCCATTACTTCTTGTCTTTCATAACTGAGAAGGTATTATTAAAACAACGTTGGGACAAGTGCTTAGGAAAGGAAATCTATTAGCCCAATAATGTTAGGGTTAAAATTTGTTAATTAAAGGAAAAAAGTACTGTATCAACTTTTGTAGAAATAGAACCTGTCCTATCTTATGAATTCCTGATATTTCAGTACTAAGTTATTGCCATAGCACATTCATCCTCAGAACTTTGTCAAGGGCGGAAATAAGATAAAGGATGAATTCTGGGATGTGACTCCTTCCCACTGTCCTTCAACGGGGCAATTTTACCTCTCAGGCTTACTCTGCACCGTTAGGAACGATTTCCCTGATTCCCTCTGTTAAATGACTTTTTTTTTTTTCATATTTCTAGAGTACAGAATACCTTGTGTAAATCTTATTACATCACAGATGTTATTCTAAAATAGGGTATTTTTTTCTACTGACTTATTACCCATTAAGTAGACTGCTTAATTCCCTTAAGCACCTAGTTTCTATACCATAGGATAGAAAGTATAGTTTCTAGACTATACTTTGACTTCACCTACACTTTGCTCAAAGTAAGCATTTGCTAAATTAAAAATTATATATTCTGATTTTGATAATAATACTATGATAATGCCCTTGATTTTAGGATCCAGATCTTGGGGACATCTGGGTAGCCCAGCTGAGTTGGTTGAGCATCCGACTCTTGGTTTCGGCTCAGGTCCTGATCTCAGGATTGTGGTATGGAGCCTGGCAGAGCCTGGCATCAGGCTCTGTGCTCAGTGGGGAGTCTGCTAAAGTTTCTCTCTCCCTCTGCCCCTCCCCTCTGCTCGCTCACATACACTTTCTCTCTCACATAAATTTTTAAAAGGATATGCATCTTGAAGTATTCATAAAGGGTATCATATTGGCAACTTACTCTCAAGTGATTCTGAAAATAATAATATGTATGTGTATATACATAGAAGAAACCCTGGTAAAATGTTATAAATGCTTGACAAATCTGGATGAAAGATACGCAGGAATTCTTTGCACTATATTTGCAACTTTTCTGTAAGTATGAAATTATTTTGAAATTAAAAAATTTTTAAAGCCCAAATGATTCATAAAAGTGTAAGACTCTCAGCCTCCTTCCACAGCCATGACAGTCTTGGGAAGGTGGTTCTCTTCTCAGAGCCACTGCTACCTGTCCATATATAAAGCACCACCCACACTGACCTAAAACTAAGAAAACTACCACTTCTTCAAATTCCT